TCTGGACTATTTCTTGCTCGGTTTGTGGTGACGGCGTATTGTTCAACGATATTGGCTCATCCAGTCAAACTGCTCGACAAATGGATTCAATCATGGTTAAAATGATTGAGAACTACAATCGACATGAAATTCCAAGAAAACAGCCGGACAACATGACAAATTTGGACGTTCCTCCGCTGCTGGTGGATGTGAACATGTATGTTTACAGTTTCAGTTCCATCAGTGTGGTTGATATGGATTACACCATTGATTTCCTTCTTCGACAACGATGGCAAGATGATCGGTTGAAATTTTTAGTTCCAACAGATGGGAAACGGAAACCCATTTCCTATTTGAAAGATCATTTATGGATACCCGATTTGTTTTTCCGTAATGCAAAAAATGGTTTCTTGCACACCATTACGAAACCCAACTACTTGATATGGCTAGACTCTCAAGGAGTGATTACTTTCAGTCAGAAGTTGTCTCTCAAAGTGTCTTGTCACATGACTTTGGAAAAGTTTCCCATGGACACGCAATCTTGCAAGGTTAATATTGGTAGTTACGGCTATGCGATCGACTACCTGGACTTTCGTTGGTGGCGTAGTGAGGTATACCGTTCAATCGATGGACTGCCTACCAACGTGTCTGCTCGAAAAGCGATCGAAATCCGACCGGATTTGGAAATCAATGAATTTACTTTGATCTCATACGACGCCTACTATTGTGCGATGCAGTATTCTTCCACTGGACAATTTTCTTGTCTAGAAGTCAAATTTGATTTACAAAGACGATTTGGTTTTTACTTGATCTATGCATATTTGCCCTCAATGCTGATCGTTGTGATTGCATGGGTCTCGTTCCTGTTAGACTCATCTGCTGTTCCGGCCCGCGTATCGATTGGATTGCTCTGTGTCCTCGCTCTGATCACCCAGAGTGCAGCAATTCTAACCCAACTTCCCCGGGTGTCATATGTGAAAGCAATTGACATTTGGGTTTTTATTTGTTTGGCATTTGTGGTTAGTTCACTACTCGAATTTGCTGCTGCCAATACAATTTCACGTCGACAAGCACGACAAAGGGTAAAGGTGCATGGGGTTTCTCAGGGTTTACAAATTGTCACCACCTTGTCTGCCCTAAGCGCGTTAGTGAAGACCAACGACGAGGCCAACGGAAAACGCAAATCTAATTTGGAAGCGCTGTCGGCTGAAAACAACGAAGAAACGCAACCGCTGAATCCTTTGAGGAAAGTGAGTCCCCATTCGCCTGAGGATGCGGCCCCCGATACCCGACTGACACACAAGTTTCTCGAGCCGGAACAACGTGAGTGCTCGCCGGAATGCCCGTGCAATGGTTCGTGGAAAGTGCAATGCCTGGATTTGGCATTTGCGATTGGCTATCCTATTCTATTTCTTATGTTCAATATTGCATACTGGACCTACTACGTTTATTATAAACGAAAAAACTGGCTTCTTTAAAATCCTCGTAAACTGTGAAAGCCATGTACAAAACCTTTACGATATGAAAGTGATATTTTTAGCTTCGGCATCAAGAGTCATTTAGTTTGGTCTTGACTATACTTGTCCTCTTTTAATTATTCGTTCAGTCACAGTACATTGTAATATTTCGAAGTTTGTATCCATCAATGTACCCAAGGATATGATGAGAATCTTGGACAATTTCGAGAATTGATTCCGTTTTATACATCACTTATCCTGTCAAAATGTACACTATAATCCCGACATAATTTGCAATAGTTGTCATTATTGTGGTTCTCGATAGATGTAGTTTTGATAGGTGGTTCATGTGATACTTTTTGAGAAATGAGGCGCATACACGTTGAGTCCAGTCTAACAGGGGAATTGGAAAACAATCGATGGAAGCCAACACAGTTGCAATGATGAAAACTCAGAAATGGTTACAAACTGATAAACTTCTCTCCTGTATACAAGTATTCTTCTCAATAACAATTGAACTGTTGTTCTGAATGAGTTGCTTTGGTTTAGAATGACCACTTCAAGCCATTTGGGCCATCTGACGAAAAGTGGCGAATCAACTTATGCTAAAGACTAACTGCATCCCTTTGTGTTTTGAAAGGCGTTAATTGAACTAACATATTTATTGCCATTACTTATTCAGGCGGCCGTCGTACAGTCATAAGTATCGTTCGATAGAATGCCGGTAGCTTTTTAACAATTCGAGGTAAGCTCAATGTGTCAATATGCGTGATCGGCTACTGCCGGCAGGCATTGATAACTACTTACATGGTTTCCGCAAACCCGTCCCACTTTGATTAACAACAATGTGTCAGTCTGGAAAATCAATGATGCCAACGAAAAAATGAACCTGTGTCAAGGCATACCAGTAAAGAACTGAGTCCAAACTGAAGACTACTGCAAACATTTGTTCAGCATACTGGGTGTGGAATTGTTGCTGGTAGATGGGTAGGAATCGACAGTGAGTTATTTACTGCACAGCCAGGATGGCCGGTTATTTTTCAGCCCATCAATTACTATTGTTTCCCATCACTCATGTTTATCTTGACCGCACTGCCTACGGACTGACATAAAAACATTTGTTCGAGGTCATTAACCACTCTGTGCGGGCATTCCACAAACTGTGCTTGCAGAAGACGTGTAGTTGGACAACAGTCGTATTCATGTGATCAGCTGGTACTATTTTTCGGCCCGCTTGATCGACACAGATCTGTCTGATACACGATGTACTACTGCTGAATGCAAATTGGCATCGAATACTGTCCAACAGCAGCCGTGACCTTTGAAAGAATAACTGAATCCAGATTTGCTTGACGAGGAATCCGGATTGTCACGGAATGAACAAGAGCGATGCAATCCAATAGATTGGGAAATTGGCCTAACTGAACAGAACCGATAATAGAAAAAAAAATATTCATCTGATACCAGAATCCTGAGAAATTTCAGCGTGATGTCATCACACAGCAAGTTTTTAGGTAAACCGTTTCCCGGTGTTTATGATACATGCAAGGTGTTTGAGAACGGCCCATATAAAAATGTTCGCATTGGACTTTTAGATCACATTCAAATGCTTTATAATATCCTATCATAAACGGTCACAAGTTAAGGTTTGGCTGAATTCTGAAGTTCATTGAGAGTATTCATTATCCGTGCTCTCCATCCTTCCCTGTAATTATAGACAATCTGAGAACACAAGAAGACAATCAAGCTCACTTCATATGTGTGATAATGTAAATCCTAATAATTATCTAAATGGATATTGGTGCTTTCGGGTTTAACTTCAAGCACTAACCAATCGTCACCCCTTCTTGTGTTTAACGGTCAGACAGGTTTCGCTGATTTGGTCGATCAAACTTAACTGATTGAAAGGACTATTTTGGAACAATAGAGGGACATGAAGACAGGTGATAACGGATTTCACACTGCATGCAATGTGAAAATGAATTTGCCTAAGCTGCCGGTTTTGATTCTGCACCCTAGCCAAATGACGTTATTTATATTCATAAAGCAATTGGCTTCCACAAGATGATGACTCACTTGCCCAGTCTACTTACACCAACCAGTCAATGCCCAAGATCAGACAAGAACCATTGTGCATACAAATTTATGTTTGCGTTGTAACCACTGGTAACATGTCAAAGTTTATATTGAATCCAGCAGCAGTTAAGTGGTGCCGGTAAGCGTTTTGTCCCTCCGGGGATTCTCTTTGGAGTGTTCATGTTTCCATATGTCTACACTCCTTTGCCTCGTTTTCCCGCCAGTCACCACTTATTCTCTATTCAGTTGAGTTCTCTATTCTACTATAAACTCAATGTTGTATTCGAGAACGACTATCATCAGGCTCGATGAAATATAGATATAAACAAGTTCAGTACCCAACCTTAAGTAATAAAAACTGTGCGACAAACATATGCCAACATTTAGTATTCCTGGTGTGCAAAACTGTTATACTCGGATACCGAGGCCAAACAAATCGATCCTGTGTAACTACGTTGGATCCTGCTAAAAGTCATGTTGTATTCAGTGAGGTATTTGCGACTTAGAATCACATCGCTAGTATTTGTAGAGATATTTCTATTGACCGGATGATTGATTAAACAAACGTCATTGCAAGAATAAGCACTTAAAACGAAAAATAACTCATTTATTGCACCCTTTTTGGGTCTGCGAATGGATTGATCGAAACGATTACAGTCATCTTTTGTTTCCCGGTAGGGAATCGGAAAGCATTAACTCAGTAGGCAACTGAGGCATCCACATAGCTGGCCAAAATAGTGAGAGGATTTCCACTTATTTGAATTAAAAAAGCGTGGTTTGCGATTTGCATGAATGCTTTATTTCAGTATACGTGACAGTCTTTCAGAGGGCGTTACATTGGAGATAAGAAATTGTGCAGGGTAAACGTTATACGTTGCCAGTTAGGGAACAGTGAACAGACAGTTAGATGGAATAAATATTTGTAAATAAACAAAACATACAGCTCTCTACCTAAACAATTTGTGGCACCTTCTTCCAACTACTATGTGATCACCAATAGAAACAACTGAATAGATTATTGTCCAATCGAATCTACTCTGAGGTTGATGTAGAGCAAAGAGCAGAGTAATCTAACACGCCGGTGAGAGAGCTGCTGAATCTATTCTGATTCACTCCGTTGAACGTCGATGCAGAGATAAAACTCTAGGACAACCAGAGCGAACGCTGTCTGATTAAGTCCCCGGGTCTATTTCAATCCGAACTAATATTATTTCGGCGCTAAATATTCCTGGAAATGTTCCTCTCTACCGGATCCATTACTGACCAGAATCATAGGTTGGTGATATTACAATATTCTGTATCGGCAGCTCCAAATGCCTAAAATGCAATGAGATTGATAATAAATATTATTTTCTGCAACAAATCACCATTATCGGTTCAGTCGGTTTGCTTCCATATTTTACCACACCCACTGATACTTTTAGTGCTGAGACAAAAGTTGCACTAACCATATTGAACATTGTGGACATACCAAACCCTTAAAAATGTTCCGCTAAAATGTTATACACGCTGGAACGCTCGCTGAATTCAATTATGAGTGGAGGGCGAAAGATGAGGCGAAATATAGACACACTGGAGTTTGTTTAAAAATGCAATGCAAAATAAAGATTTATGTTTCAGAACAAACCCATTGCAACACCAATCCGAAGGCGAACAATTGTTTTCGAATGATTCATAATTATGCCCGAGTGTCTTTGGTGCGGACAGATTTTCACTCAGAGGGTCGAAAGGTCATTCGCGATGGGGAAATGGGAGGTGTGGTATGAGCCTTGTGTCTGTTTTCGGATGAGATAGATTGTGATCAGAGTGTTGGTGGTATTGATTTTGATGATAAAATTAGGGTCGGGTTAAGTGGAGAGCTTGAACCAGTTGCTTTAGAGTTTACAGTTCCGGTGCGATAACGCGAATGCTTCTCGTCTCAGCGGTGGCCAGTATTATGTAAGCGTACTGCCGCAGATAGATTAAGAGTATCAAACTTGGATTATTCCATTCGATTGTTCAGAGGAACCAGACCTTGTTAATGGCCTTGGGTTTCACTCCTTGGAAGACCGTCGATTCCCGACTAGGTAATGTATTCAAATGCAATTGAAATATTTGTCATAACCCACAAGCAGCACTGAACAGCTGTTTCGTCTTGTTTGGGATTCGTCAACAGTGCGTACTTTTGTGTCCCTGTCAGCACTCGAACCGCAAACATTCGGGTGGGGACTTCAAACCCTTACTGTTGAGCTACACGGTTCACGGTCATCTCATTGTGTGAATGAGTCAAGGCGTGAAACCCACACACAAGACCATCAAGAGTGCCTGGTGCCTCTGAAAAATCGTATGGACTAATCCAAGCTTGAAAATCCGAATTGATCGAGCCGTTCGCACAAGCTGATGACCGTCCAACGTGTGGCTCAGGGATAAGGGTTTGAAGTCCGNTCCGCACTCGAATGTTGGCGGTTCGAGTCCTGACAGGGACACAAAAGTACGAACTGCTGACGAATCCCAAACAGGACGAACCAGCTGTTCGGTGCTCTTTGTCGGTTACCACAAACATTTCCATTGCATTTGAATGCATACGACAGATTACACTAAACGCTGATTCTGGTCTTATTTGATGGTGTGTATCCGCTACCTTTTTATATTTCCGAACATCAGTGTTTATCTTTTGGTTATCGGGAAGATTATTCCGAACTCCATGTAACCACGCTTGGCAGGTTTCCTAGGTAAATTACGCAGAATTCAGTCTTTCTGAAGGGATATATTTTCTTCAATAAAACCAGTCGCCATCCAAATAATTTCTGACTGTTCTGCTGCAGACCATATTCCGCCTTTAACTTCAATAGTAATATCTCCAAAAGGGACTATGCATTTATCATTGACCTATTCAACCAACGGAGGTATTTCTTATTCGCACAAATTCTTCCGCCATGTCGTCCATTTATAACATAATCCTGTTC